TTGTTTTTTTTAATCCTCAAGAATGTCATACACATATGCAACATGTTTTGATCAAATCCACCCTCATTTCCTCCCCTCCAACACCTCCTCCCCCTTTTCCTTCAACTTCATGTGTTCTTGTTGAAAATGGAGTCATCTTGGTGCTGCCAGTACTGGACAAAGGGTAGCCTCTCAGGGACCATATCTCCATCCCTGAAGAAAACTGACTCCCCTTCTACCAGCAGCCTTAATTCCCAATAGCTTCTCCATGAGAGATGGGGTGTTTTGACCATCTATATAAGGGAAAATCTTAAAGAGAGTCCAGCCCAGTAGCTCTTAGTGTTGTTTACCCTCCCCAGGATTCCTTGGGGGACTTAATGTGGGGATATATATAGTGATGGTGGTGTTGCATTATACATGGGGGTCAAAAGTACCGCAAAGCAGAATAGCCTTGCCTACAGGGGCAGATTTCAGACTTGCAAGCATGTTGCTGGTCATTCACCTAAGTGAAAACGTTGCCTGAATCTAGGAATTACAAAATGCATGATCACGGGGCTCTAACATTACATGTAGTAATTCTAGGAATCTAACTACAGCATAAAAAGGAAAAAAACAAAAACAAACAAACAAAAAACATCCTGGGTTTCACTCACAACTTTTGTCAAAAAGAATTCAATATTTCAGATCACACTTTTGTGATATTTTGTAAACACTAACAAAAGACAGCGACTCTGTGGCTGTGATATTCAAATTCTATGTGTGGCAACGGCAAGTATGTATTGTCAACAGATCAAAGTAGTATTATTATTATAAATTATATTCACGTATCCTTAAAATGTATTATTTGTGGATCTCTAGGCAGTGATGTGGAGAGGCTAGAATGTTGCAAGTGAAGAGGCTAATTATCTTGGGCTTAACCATTCCTTCCCCATGTTTGTGTCAGAACTAATATCCTATGGCAATAGATAATCTAACAACAGGCCGCTAGCTCCCACCAACCCCAAAGCTCAGGACATTATTAGATCTATCCGACCTTGATTTAGGACCTTGTTCTGTGAAACTATGGAACTGCTTCCACTTTGGAACATGGAGTTCGAGGTAACCTAAATAAATGTGTGCTCCGGGACCATGATCACTCAAATCTGGTTCCAGAATAAACTATCTCCTATTCCCTTTAAATTGAGAGTTGTTTTCGTGTGTCAACTAGCAGGTAGTTGACGAATTCCATGCTAAGAACAAAGTGGTTATTGTATTATTCACACTGATTGAGTCCGGACTGACAGACAAGCCCCGTACCACTAAGCTACATCTTCAGATTCAGCTTCCAGAACAGCTGCGATGAAAGCCCAGCGGGCACGCATGATATTATGTAACATTTATTTTTAAGGTGGACGGTGGTTCCTCCAGCCTGTGACGCACTGGCACAGTCCACCTGCTGCCACCTGCAACTTTACCAGGGCACGAACTCGGGCGGCCTTTCTCGGGCGGGGCTGTCCAGGTCCCCAGGAGTAATGTCCTCAGGGGTCAGACCCCACCGGCCGACCCTGAGGAAGGGCTTGAGCCCCAGGGGACACAGGGAAACCTCAGAGGCCGGGCGGGGCGCCCCGAGAGAGGGCAACTGGTGGAGGGGCGGGCCGGGCGGGTGACGCACTTCCGGTCGCGCCGCGGGTCGTGCTGCGCAGGTGAGTGTGGACTCGCTGCAGTGAGCAGTGTCCTGGCAGTACTCACGCAGGGACTGGTGCAGCCAGCTCTGCATCCCACCACGTCTCGGTGCCCACAGTGGCGAAGCGTGTGTGGCGGTCACACGCCGGGTCCGGAGCGCTTAGCAGGTGGCCGATTGGAGAAACGGTGTCACTGCAGCCAGAGGGTGACTGAGTTGCGGGGGCGAAGTGGCTCGAGGTGACATCGCATGTATTTGGACGCACTGCAGCCCTGCAGGCGCTTCAGGTGTGTACAGCGTGTCCCCGGGCTCCAGGCAGGGTGAGGGGCGCGGGGCACTGCAGGAAAAGCAGGACCCTGTCCCAGCCACTGGTGACAGAAGGCTTGAGGCCTGGTCTGCTGCATCCACGTCAGGCCCCAAAGGTAAGGGCTCACACATGCACACATGATCACGACATCGCTAGAATACACACAGAGTAGTTTTAGAATTGCTATTTCATATCCTATAAAAGACAGGTCTCTTTGGTCATTACCTTGCCCTGGTCAAAAATACTATTTTTTCACGGTTCTTTGTGTGTGTGTGTGTGTGTGTGTGTGTGTGTGTGTGTGTGTGTGTGTGTGTGTGTGTCTGTCTGTCTGTCTGTCTGTCTGTGTCTGTCTGTCTGTCTGTCTGTCTTCGGTCATGACACCTATGAGCAGCCAATTAAGAAAGTGTTTGGGTCCTTACTGCTGCATCCAATTGGTTCTTTACCAGACTGCCACCCTTAGAGGTAGCAACTCTTTTGAATTCTGTGTTAATTACAGCCTATTTCTAAAAGTGTATCCATGTGCATTAATATGTAGACAATTTAACCCTCTTTTGTTTTGTTTTTTGAGCGACTTAAGTGTACAGTCACCGGGTACTTGGTTAATTTCTGAATTCATAAAAACAATACAACAATACAACGGACAGGCAGGTTGTCTTCGGGCAGGTTGTCTTCGGGCTTGTTATGTATAAAAAAAATGTACTCATGATGAATATTTTGTGCATATCTCCTATATATGAGAATAACTATAGGAATAGATTTTCTTTTTATTCTTTGAGGCTTTCATACACGTATACAATGTATTTTGATCATTTTAACCCATCTGTTCTTACCATCCCCTAGACATCCTTATAGTATACATTTTTAAAATTAGATGTATTGGTTTTTTTCAAACACTTTTGGCATTAAGATTGACCGTGTATTAATAGAGTTGTTATCTTCAAATCGAATTATATATTTTTATTGTAGAATAAGTTGTCTTTTTAAGTATTGAAGGATATTAAGAAAAGGTAGATATTAATGTCATGCACACACACACACAACCAAAATAAAACAAAAGCCCTTTAAGAATCTGTAAAGAATAAGGTAAAATAGATCAGATCAGTTAAAAATGTAATAACAAAACTAGAGCTTATTAGGAGGGAAAGTGTGAGCAGCACCAATATATTATAAATAGTTATTATGCCAGAGACAAATTGGAGTTACTGAGTGCTAAAATAGAAGTTAAAGTGTAGAACATGAGAACCTCTGAGCCAGAGGAAAATTTATGGCCAGGTAGCTTTGAATTGTCAAATAAGAAATAATGAAAATAACCCCTGCAGCTTGAAGAAGATACAAAAAATTAAAAATCCTTATGTAGTCTAGGTTTTTTTCCAGTTGCAGAACATGGGATTAAGGTAGGTGTGTGTGTGTGTGTCTTTAAATGGGAATTTAACTATGAATGTGCTCACTGCACAGAGTGAAGGGCAAAGAGAGCAAAATGGAAAAAAACAAAACAAACAAACACACACACACACACACAAACCCTACAGACAAATGTAACAGGTCAATTGAGCAAAGAATGATTTGACAGTTGCACAGTTTGTGACACCACACAATTTATGAGATTGGGAATGCGATGGGGCTGAACATTTGTAGACAGGAAAAGGGAAGTGCCTTACTGAAGAGTTAACTGGGTTGCTTTGTGCCTGGTGCTTGCCTTATTTCTATCTAGTTTGACCAGCCTGGCCACTGAGATTGGTTCCTAAATTAGGTTTTGAGTTTGTTTATATACTGAGTTGGGTTGCAATTCTGTACAGGTAAGTATTCAGATACATGAATAGGAAAGCTTTCCTAGGTCAAATTAGTTTATTAGTTAATTAACCAATACAAAGTTGCCTTGTTAGGCTTGGCCCTCAACAGATTCTGTCTTTCAGGGTCTCTAACGAGCTTTGGAATCTTAAGGATGCCCTTCTAGGGCTAATGGGAAAAGCACTTACCCATCAAATTCTGTCCCATTGGTCATGGGTGGCCTCACTGATGTTTACTTGACTGCAATTCAGGGCTCAGCAGGTATCTCACACAGAATATGGGAGAAGCCCTAGGGCAGGAATGAGGTATTTATGTTATAGCTTGTGGTGCAGGTTGCTTACAGCTTAGTGAAGCTGCAGAAGAACTGCAGAAAGCCTCCATTTGGCATATATCTGTGATGCAAAAGTGTACAGTTCAGATTGAGAACCGAGAGGTAGCCCACTACCTCACTTCTAGCCCAGCTTTTTCAAGGTTATCTTAGGCCATGCAGAAAGTTAGCCTGCTGAGACCTGCCTGCACAAAAGCCTTAGCCCAGGCTGACCTCAAACTCTGATCCTCTGGCCTCTAGCTCCTATGGGCTGGGATTATGGGTATGCACCATTGCTACTGGCAAGCATTAGAATTCTTGACACTTAAGAACGAGAACACTGATAGGAGGTAGAGGAACAGCCGTCCACTTTGTGTGTGGTGTCTCCCTGCAGCCTGACTCCCAGACCCCACGTGCCTGCTGCACCTCGCTGGCCTTTTCTTACGTGTGATTGTGAGTGATGCTTGGTATAGAAGGAGAAGTGAGGTAGACTTGGTAATATTCCTTGAGCTGAATTGTCAGTTCCTGGACTGTTGTTCTTTAGGCTCTGCCAGTGTTTTGTAAACACTCATTTATATGGTGCTTGTAAGACTTGCCAAGCCAAGGTGGTGGTGGCATATGCCTTTAATCCCAGCACTCTGGAGGCAGAGGCAGGTGGATCTCTGTGAGTTTGAGGCCAGAGTGAGTTCCAGAACAGGCTCCAAAGCTACACAGAGAAACTCTACTTCTAAAAACCAACCAACCAAACAAATAAATAAATAAATAAAAGACTTGGCAAATCAGAGGCTTCTTGGCAGCCAGCTTTAAAGAGTCAGTGCCTAGGAAGAATATTGGGCACTTAAGCCAGTGATAGGATCACTCTTCTCTGGCAACTCCTGTTCCTGTGTGGATACCAGCTGCCTGTACCTTAGGTCTTAAGTGTGCTCCTGATTGGTGTGGTTTGCCTCACATCCCACTCCAGCCTTCTGTTTCCCCTCAGCTCCAGCCCTCCCTTGACAGAGAAACCAGGTGATGGCAGCCATGATCCCGTCAGTTTGGCCCCAGGTGAGCTGTGGGCCCCTCATCTCTTCCTCTGGGCAGTTCAGATTGAGAACTGAGGAGAGAGCTGGTGAGACTCGGAATAAAAACTGCTTCTACCTGCCAAACTGGATCTTGTGGGAAAGGTGGACAGGCAAGTGGCAGAGAGTGGGGCAATGACAAGGGAAGGTAGCAGGGACCTAGCAGACGCGGAGTCACACAATGGTCTCTATGCCACTGTGCAAGAGCACCCTGGCACAGGGCTTTTGGAGAATGAGTCAGTGGAAACCACCCATGTATTGGGTGTACATATGCATGTATTGGAATAGAGGAGTTGTGGGTTTGGGGTAATTAATAGCTGGGGTGGGAAAAGAAGAAGGGCTATAGATGAATGAGAAGGATGGCTCTGTTTCTGATGAGGAGGGATAGGGAAGATGATGGGAAGTGGGAGCAAGGAAAGAAAAGACAGGAGACCTGAGGGTCTTTGGTTGGGGGTCTACGTGGGGGGGAGTCAGGTGGTGAATGGCATAGCAGCCCTTGGTGGGATGGGGGACATCTGTTTTATCATTATGAGGGTGAGTGTAATAATGAGTGGAGAGGTGGGGGGGTTGAGGTAAGCCATGGAGGAGCCAAGACCTCACAGGGATGCAGAGGGACCACAGATGACTGATGTGCAGTGGAATTTGCTTATGGGAATTCTTTTTCTTTCAGCCCAGTGTGAAAATGGCATGCAGGTTCTCTGCTGTAAGAGAAGGCTTTCCTGGTGTTTTTTCCTCCACTTTCCTTTGTTACTAATTTTGTTTTCTTCACAAGCCCCCTCCCCAAACCCTTACTTTGCCCTCTGCCCCTCACTTAGGGCCCAAGCCATGGAATTGGCCCTAGGGCAGCAAGAACCTGTTGTTTCAGAAGTTGGTGACCTTTGAGGACGTGGCTGTGTATTTCACCCAGATGGAATGGGATGTTCTGTCCCCTGAACAGAGGGCGCTATACAAGGATGTAATGTTGGAGAATTATAGGAACTTGTCCTCCATGGGTAAGGCCTTTCTCCCTAGACTCAGACTGCCATTTTGGGTTTCCTGGCTCTTTTCCTAACAGGTGGCAGGTGGGGATCTGGTAATCCTTTATGAGTGGGCTTTTCTAATCTCTTTATATATAGACTGCTGGAAGAGCAATCCCAAGTTGTTATAGGACTTTGCTGAGGATAATGTATGCTTTTGAACTACCTTAAAGAAGCTGTATATTGGACATGATGTGAAAGATAGAAATTTGCTGTTCTACAGAGGCATCTTCAGATTGCCCCTTGCCTTACTTACTTTGAGTCTTTTTAAAGAATCTCAATTTACTCTGGCTATTTTAGCCCAAGATCAAGAAGTGGTATCCCTTTTGGGCAGACTCTCCCAGCTCTCTGCATGAGGACCCTGGTTCATTGGCTGACCCTTCTCAACCCTACCCACCTCCTTAACCTTCTTATTGCTGAGTCATCCCAGGAGAAGTTAGGGATGCACCTGTGGGAGATTTTTCATGTCTCTTCTGTTTCTTTTTCCCAAATCAGGATTTCCATTTCTCAAACCTGCTTTGATCTCACAGCTAGAGAAAGGAAAGGACCTGGAAAACCTGTCTCAGCTGGCCACTGGAACAGACTCCCAGGGCCTCTGGACTGGTAAGCAAGGCACAGATTGTCCAACAACATAAATTTGTACCACATTTATGCATTATGGCAATGCATTCTATCTCTGACTCCACCATCAAACAAGACTATGGATTTAGTGATGGAAGGTGGGGATTTAGGGTTGCTACTAAAAGTGGAGGATATAGCCTTAACAGCTTTTTACACAGAGGCAGAAGTAGCTAAAAGCTATCCTGAGGTATTACCCTATCTGTATTTGTGAAGAAACTTTTTTTTTTTTTTTTTCTCTAGTTACATGACTGAGCAGGTCAGTTATTTGAGCTCTCTACAGTCTAGTGATCTCATCTCTGAAAATGTGATCATGAAAGGCAATGGACCTTACCACTCAGTGGGCTCAGGACTAAATGTGATAACATATATTAAGGGTCTAAGCTTAGTTAAATTATAATTATCTATACGTTGAAAGTATAAATGCCATGCCATGCCTCTTGAATGTCGATGTGTAAATTCTTGGGGTTCTTACATGCACAGACTGTCAGCAGGTCTTCAGTCCAGCCACATGTCTGCACTTATATCATACTATGAGCGCCTTAATCAGAGGTTTTTGTTTCTTCTTCTGTAGGCAGCAGTTAGTCTCATTTGTTTGGATGAAAAATGAGACAGACTGTGGGTGGGCAAAAAGAGAAGGTGGAGGGCATAAGGACTCTGGTGACAATTATACTTTAAAACATAAAACAAAAGCCTTTTTCATAAATCAGCTCAGTGATTTCTATAGAAGTCTTTACTTGCTGGACCTTAGATCTTTTCTCTAAGAGAAGCTGGAAAGTATGATTTTGGTGAGAAGATCAATACTTCAAAAAACTAAATTGAAGGTATATCAGGAAAGATGAAATAAACAGTAGATATTAACATCTGTTATACCATAGGATTTGGAAGATCACTAATAAAAGTTGGTAAAGAACTAATAGTAAGTGGTTGACCTGAATAAAATGTACAAATGTTGGCTGGGCAGTGGCGGCACACACCTTTGATCCCTGCATTCAGGAGGCAAAGGCAGGCAGATCTCTTGAGTTCAAGGCCAGCCTGGTCTACAGAGCAAGTTCCAGGACAGCTAGGGCTATACAGAGAATCTCTGACTTGGAAAAAAAAAAAAATCAAATCAAGAAAACAGTATCTATCCTCAGTAGAAATCAAAGACAAACAAGTCATAATGAAAGGTTAGGAATACAACACAGTAGTAGAGGATTGCTTAGATGCATGAGGCACTGGGTTTGATCTCTACAGTGGAAAAGTTGTAGTAGTGAAAGATGACGTACTTATCAGAGACTCTAGTTATATCAGATGTCAGGGAGGAAGCAAAACAGGAGTATGATTTTTGGAGCTGGAGTGAATTCAGTGTGAATTGGTAATCTGTCTAGAAGAAAAATTGGTACTTGGTAACCTGGATTTTGTCTTCTAGAGCCATAGACTCATAAAGTAATGCATTTGAGTATCAAGATAGTGGAAACAATCTCAATTTTCAGTATAGAGAGAATGACTACTTTGAAGTATTTCTACAGGTTGAAAGAATATTTAGTAATTTAGCTTCTATGGTTTTACAGTTTATTTTAATTTAAAAAATTTAAAAAATAATTGGAAAATGTTCATTAAGTAGAGGAAGGAAAAAAAAAACTAGTTTTAAAAAAATAAAAAAAAATTTGATTTAAAGGGGTAAGATATTAGACTAGCAGAGGTTACTTTTAGACACCTGATAATTCATGTTTTGGGTAATTGAATTTTTAAGTTTCTCGTACTACAGATGTCTTCATCAGTTTGAACTATTGGAACAGAATGCCATAGATTGAGTGGTTTATAAACAACATAATTTGTGTCTTCAATATGGCTTAGCTTGGGCTGCTATAATAGAATACCTTGGGTAGTTTATAAGAACATTAATCTTCCATTTTGGGAGTTGGACATCCAAGAAGAGCAAGGCTCAGTCAGATTCTGTTTGACAAAAACTTGTTTCCTAGTTAATAGGCAGCTAGCTATCTGTTTTCTTGCTGTGTCTTCATGCCTTAGAAGGGAGGACCCCCTAAAGCACAGCAATTCCATACATGAGGGCTCTGCCAAAGGTTCCCCCTCCTAATAATGGTCACTTCTTTGAAGTTAGGGCTTTTACAGGTGAATACTAGGGGTGGACAACAACAAACATTGAACCTATAGCAACAGATACACATATTTTTAATTTTGAAAAGGCTCATATTATTTTAAAGTCCTTTCTAGAGGAATCTGGGTTTCTTTGTTGTTGAGAATAATTATAATGAAGTAGCAAGGCAAGTGAATATTTTATTATTTTATTTATCCTTCTCTGTACAATGCACCCTGATGACAGCCTCTCCTCCCTCCACTCCTCCCTTCCCCTAACCTTCTCTCTCCCCTAGATCCACTGTTCCTCCATTTCTTTCAGAAAAGAGCAAGCCTCCCAGTGATACCAACTGGGCATGGCATAACAAGATACAATAAGAATAGGCAGAAACCCTCATATCAAGACTGGACAAAGCAACACAGTAGGAGGAAAAGGATCCCAAGTGCAGGCAAAAGAGTCAGAGACACCCTCACCCCTACTGTTAGGAGTTCCACAAAACCTCAAGCTAATCAACCACAACTCCTATGATTCCTGCTTAGTTGATTTTGTGGGATATGCTGTTCTGGTGTCTTGGCTTCTACAATCCTTCCTTGTGGTTCCAGAATATCATTAGGAATCATTTCATTGATTTTTTATTTTATTTTATTTTATTTTTAACAGTCATTTGGTTTTACTCCTTGTCTGTGAGCCATCAGCTTCTGGTTCCTGGCCATCCTGTTGGTCATGGGCTCCCTCTTGTGGCTTGGGCCTCCCATAAGCTCTAAGACACAATTACTCTAGCACATCTTGCAGGCAGGACAGGTGTTGGTAGAAGGTTTTGTGGCTGGGTTAGTGTCCTAGTTCCACCACTGGGATCCTTGTGTGGTTACAGAAGATGGAAGGGCATATTATATGTGGTTGGAAAAAATGAGAAAATAAAGAAACTTTTTTTGAGGAGAAATGGAGAGGTTAGTATTGTAAAAATTATGATGTATATAAAAGAATGTTTTAGGATTCATGGAAGGGAAAGTTTGTATAGAAGTCTTTTAGAAGAGATGGGAAGAAATGTGATGAAATGGGCCTTAGCAGAGCTTTTCTGAAGTAGAGAAAGAACTTGAAAGAACAGTTTCAAGAATGCTGGAGTGGAGTTCTAGGGAAATAACCCAGCTCTTCTTTTGTTGTCTCTCTCAATGCTCCATCATTTCTTTCTTGAGCATTTTCTGCTTTTATTAATAAGGAACTTGATCCATAGGGACAACTGGGAAGGAACTGTAGAATGTGGGAAAGCATGAACGGATGGGAAAAATACATATCTGATAGGCAAGACCTAGAATTTTCTTCCACTGCTTCCACTTTGTGTTATTGGTGTTGCCTTTTATAGTGGCCTTGCCTTAGGAGAGTGTGGCTGGGAATTTTTTTTTTTGTTTGATGTGGTCTCATGTAGCTGAACTTTTCCAGAAATTTTCTGACAGAGATACATGTTCTTGTCTACTCTTCTCATTCTTCGTTGCACAATTAAAATCTCTTTTCTTTACTATTTCATATCTTTTTATTTTGAAGTATATCCTGGGCATTTGTTCATGGTCTATATATTTGGATCTATTTCCTTCTTTTTACCAATGACAATTACACCTTGAACCTTAGGGTATTTGACTTAATCTAGTGATTTTTTTTTTTAAGAACCTTTTAGAGCAAAGCATGGTGACCCGATATGTAATAAATAGTTTCTGACTATTTTCTTCCAGCATGGTTCTATATGAAAGCTTTTAATTTTTTACTTCTTTTGGTAGAATATACTTCTATCCAGATTGGCAATAATTTGACAAAAGAAGTGTATGAAGAAAAAAAGAGTATGTTATTTGATCTTCAGAAGGACTTTTCCCAGGAAACAAACTTTTCAAAAACTTCTATTGTAGACCAACGACAGGAAATCCACATAACAGGAAGTGTGAAAGAGAGTATCAGTGCCACTGATGGAAGAGTGAAGACAAGCTCTGTGGAAGGGTATTTATTTAGTCACACCCCAAATGTGTCTCAGAGCTGCGCCAACTCCACTGGAGGACAGTATTCTGATAATGAAAAAATTACTACAGAAGGAAGACCTTTGAAACACAAGGAATTATCAGAAATCTCTCATGGTAGATCTCAAGTTAATCAGCGTTTAGAAAGCCCCACCGTGGAGAAGCCTTATCAATGCACAGAATGTGGCAAAACCTTCAGTGTTAAAGCAAAATTTGTTTGGCATCAAAGACTTCATAATGGAGAAAAACCTTTCAAATGTGTGGAATGTGGGAAATGCTTTAGCTATAGTTCACACTATATCACACATCAGACAATCCACAGTGGAGAAAAGCCTTATCAGTGTAAGGTATGTGGAAAAGCCTTCAGTGTTAATGGAAGTCTAGTTAGACACCAGAAGATACATACAGGAGAGAAGCCCTATCAGTGCCAGGAATGTGGGACTGGCTTTAGCTGTAGTTCAGCATACATTACACATCAGAGAACCCACACAGGGGAGAAACCTTATGAGTGTAGTGACTGTGGGAAAGCTTTCAATGTTAATGCAAAATTAATTCAGCATCAAAGAATTCATACCGGAGAGAAACCTTATGAGTGTAATGTGTGTGGGAAAGGTTTCAGGTGCAGCACTCAGCTTAGGCAGCATCAGAGTATACATACTGGAGAAAAACCACATCGGTGTAGTGAATGTGGAAAAGGTTTCACGAAAAATGCAAAACTCATTCAACATCAGAGAGTCCACACAGGTGAGAAACCCTATGAGTGCAACGAATGTGGGAAGACTTTTAGTGCCAAAGGGAAGTTAATCCAGCACCAGAGAATCCACACAGGTGAGAGGCCTTATGAATGTAATGAATGTGGGAAGTCTTTTCGGTGTAACTCCCAGCTCCGGCAGCATCTGAGAATCCATACTGGGGAGAAGCCATACAAGTGCAGTGAGTGTGGAAAGGCCTTCAATGTTAATGCAAAACTAATGCAGCATCGGAGAACTCACACAGGGGAAAAGCCTTTTGAATGTAATGAATGTGGGAAGTGCTTTACTTCTAAAAGAAACCTACTTGATCATCAGCGGACCCATACTGGAGAAAAGCCATTTCAATGCAAGGAGTGTGGGAAAGCTTTCAGTATCAATGCAAAGTTAACTAGACATCAACAAATACATACTAGGGACAAACCTTTCAAGTGTATGGAATGTGAGAAAGCATTCAGCTGTAGTTCTGACTATATTGTGCATCAGAGAATCCATACTGGAGAGAAACCATTTCAATGCAGTGAGTGTGGGAAAGCCTTCCATGTCAATGCTCATTTAATTAGACACCAGAGAAGCCATACTGGGGAAAAACCTTTCCGATGTGTTGAGTGTGGCAAAGGCTTCAGCCTTAGTTCTGACTGTATTATACACCAGACTGTGCATACTTGGAAGAAGCCCTATATGTGTAATATATGTGGAAAAACTTTCAGGTTTAGCTTTCAACTTAGTCAGCACCAAGATGTTCATAGTGAAGAAAAAGTCTAACAAAGAAAACAGCAAACAAACAAAATACTCCTATGTTTAATAGGAAATGGATCATGACTCATCAATTATTACTCAGAAGAAAACACCAGAGGGAATGAATATGGCAGTCTTCATTTGGAAATAATTTTTTTTTGTCTGTTTTACTCTATTTTTAATCAAGATTAAATGAGCAACTGGAAAGTTATATCTAAAATAACTTAGTTTTATATCAGATAACCAGAAATATAATGAAAGAAAACATTCTATCCCTGGCAGCATCAGGACAAGTAGATTTTCTAGGAATAATTATTTTGTGGGACTAAAGAAAATGAAAGATTCTTCTCTGAGGGAAAAAAAACAAACAAACAAACAACAAAAAACGGGGGAGGGGGAGAGAAATTAATTTATTTCTGCTTAGTTTTTGACAAGAGTGCATTCTACTTCCTTTAAAAGGGGGGGGGATATTTAAAAATTGTTTGATATAAGTCTTTAAAAATATCAGATTCAGGGCCTGGAGAGATGGCTCAGTGATTAGGAGTACTGTCTGTTCTTCCAGAGGTCCTAGTTCAATCCCTAGTAACCACATGGTTCACAACCATCTACAGTAGGATGACCTCTTGGCATGCTGGTATATATACAGAGCACGCATACATAAAAAATAAATAAAGTTAAAAAATATTTTTAAAAATAAGATCCAAAGTACAGATGAACTATAAGGAAAATGTTGGCAAATGACTCATTCAAAAACAAACCCGTGTGTTTTGTTGTAAATAATATGAAATAGGTTTGAATTGTAAAGCATACACACAAAAATGGAAATACCATTGTAAAATTTATGATATAAAGTATAATATCTAGTATCCAGATTTTACAAAAGATAACTTAGAAATCAACAGTGACATTAAAAGGCAACGCTTCGAAATCAAGCATTCTAAAAAAGTGTTCCACCTTAGTTGTATCCCAAGGAATGAAAATTAGTGAAGACATTTTTTTGCATGTCACATTGAGTATATAAAATGCATATTCCCCCCCCAATACTCTGCAGCCCTCAGTGATTATAGATGCTGTATTTGCTATAGATGCCTGCCATACAAGCATAAAATATATTTAACAAAATAGCATGTTAGAGTTCCTATTTTGTAGTGTCTGAACTTTACAAACATTAGCTATGTCCTGAAGGAATGTGTCTGCCTTGGATTTCAACTCTTTGTGGTGTCATGGGTTCCATGAAAATGTTGGAATTCTCAAGACACCCTGAAGTCTCTTACCCATTTAAAAAAAAAAAAATCTAAGCCATTAGTAAGATCACTTAAACGGCCAAGAAGCTGAGAAATAGTAGTTATATATTTCTGCCATATTTCTGTCAGCTGTTAGTGGGTAGTAAAGGAAATGTTTTCCTACTCAGAACAACTCTACTTCAGCAGTTGTCTGCAGACACCAACTAGATGCCCTCCAATTTCTATCAGTTTAGACACTACCCATGATAAACATCTTAACTGGTGAAATTGGCTCAATTTAGGAAGACTGCCTCTCATCCCCTCCCCCATCTTCAGACACTAGTGATGAGTCCTACATTTCTGATTTGGCTACAAACTGAACCTTTCTGGGTTTAGTAATTTGCTGTAGTAACTCACAGAACCTAGAGAGACAATTTACAGAGATTACAATTTACACAATATTCTAGAGAATATTGTGAATGTCACATGAACAACCACATAAAGAGATACTTATCAAGAGCCACAGTGTTCCCATGTGCAGATGCTTTTGCCCCCATGGGATTGGAGAGCCTCATCCTGCTGAGCCCCATTGTTAGGGCTTTTATGGAGATTACAATGTGTACCCATGATTGATGAAATTCTTGACTGTTAGTAAGTTCCCCCTCCCAGCAACAGGGGTTGCTGAAAGTTCCAACTCTCTTAACACACAGTTGGCTCCTTTGACAACTAGCCCCAGTCCTGATGCTAGCTGGCAGTCTAGCAATCAGTCACTTTAGCATAAAGAGATGACTGCAAGAGACTTACCTTAGGAGTAACAGAAGATGCTCTTCTCATATCTATCAGAAGACCAAAGGTTTCAGAAACTGGAGAGAGACGGAACACTTCTTATGCCACAGGCAGGAACCCATTTACTTGGTTCATATCTCCCTACATCTGTTTGGGGATATTTGGTGGTTGTTTGTCTTTAGTTCAGCAGTAAGCAGGATAAAATGGAAACCTGGCAACATGAAAGCTGTCAATTCTATGAACACAGACAAACATTAGGCAATACAGATTATTGGTGTTTTTCTTTCACACAGTAGTTCTTTGCTAAACATCATTTCAAAGTTATGTAATGGCTAGTGAGATGGCTCAGCAGGTAAAGGCCTGACCCAAGTTTCAGTCTCTAGAACCCATATGGTAGAAAGAACAGAACTCACACAGGTTCTTCTCTGGTCTCTGTGCATGCATGAAAATAATTAAATTTTAAAAATTAAAATACTCATAAATTAAGCATTTTGATCGTTTTGAAGTGTGCAATTTGTCTTTCTAAATAAAAATTATAAATTGAAAATTGTTGAAATTTGTTTTCTATAATATAAGAATATGTCTATTTAAATCAGGGCCATTATTATTTTGAGACTGTAATTAGCACGAGGAAGAAGTACCTGGGTTTAAATACCAGAGGGTTTAGGGGAAAAAATCAGCTTCTAGTGGGATACTTACTCCTTAGTCTGGACATAAGATTATAAGAAAATAAAGATGACATTCAAAATACTCTTTAAAAATATAAGGCTGAGGTAAAACTGTCCAGATAATTTTAGCTAGCAATGCAGACCTGGCGTTTACTGAACTCTAGTAGAATATAGCCTAGCAGATTTTGGAGACTTGGGAGCAGTGTTCTACAGGGAAGAGAACAGTGGGGAAAGCAAAACCTGATTTTCTCTGATCTCACTGAGTAGTTATTTGTTTATTTTATGAGGGAGCTTAGTCCTAATATTTCTTGCTTACACAGCACAATAAAAATATACTTTGTGTGGGGTGGTGATGGCACACGCCTTTAATCCCAGCACTGGTGAGGCAGAAGTGGGCAGATCTCTGTGAGTTTGAGGCCAACCTGGTCTTCAGAGCAAGTTTCAGGACAACTATGGCTACACAGAGAAACCCTGTCTTGAAACAAAACAAGAATGTACTTTGTAAAATTACTGTGGGGAAGAGCTGAAAGTCTGAAGAGAGATGCAACATCTAATATCTCAGGTTACATATGTCTCAGACCAAGTCTCTGTTCCACCATGTTGATAAGTTTAGTATGTAGTGTGGTAACATGAAAACTTCTTTGTATAGCATGAAGTGGGGGCAGATAGGCTTGTTCCTTTCCATGACAGTGTTTCTCTGTATAGCTTTGTAGACCAGGCTGGCCTGGAACTCAGAGAGATCTGCCTGCCTCTGCCTCCTGAGTGCTGGGATTAAAGGCATGTACCACCACTGCCTGTCACATTTCTATTTATCTAAATATTTCCACATAGTCTTATTTTATGAGAGAACGCCTGGCTGGTCCTATCTTCCCGGTCTCTACCTGGTGTCTCTTGCTGGCAGCTCTCTGTCTCTCTTACTCAGAATTCTCCCAGTATCCTAGCCCTGCCTTTATAGGCCAAACAGTCAACCAACAAGAGAAACATATACAGAGGGACATCCCCCATCATCTTCTCTTTTCTGTCTAAATAAAAAGGAAGGTTTTAACTTTAACATAGTAAAATTATATATAACAAAACAGTTATCAAGTAAGAACTATTGTTAACAATATTTAGTCCATTAACCTTTGGCAACATTTAAAGAAAATATTCTCTCATCTATCTTTGTGAGTCTACAGTTTTATGTTTAACTTATCTGTTATCATAACTAAGGAAGATAATAACCATAATTATTTACCTTCAACTCCATCAAAGACCTCAGAAGGATAATATATAACCTCTAGAATTGAAAGAGACATCTTGCTGCCTGGACAGTCGCCTGAAGTTCTTCTGTAATGTTGAAGCATCCATCTTCAGCCTACAGGCCTAATGTGTTTGGCAGACTTCTAGGTGAAGCGGGAAATTTTAAACTGTCCACCTATATTGGCAGTTTGTCAGTCATTTTCCTCTGTGTCCTGCAGAATGTCTAGCAGACTCTCCCATGAAGCAGGAACCCTGAAGGACTGTCCCATCATGTTTCCTCAAGTTCAGCAGTCCTGCATGTCCAGTTTATACACCATTCAGTCAAACAGTCCAGGCAAAGAGCAGTTTCTTGTCTAAATAATTAATCTCACCGTATTGAAAGCAACTCCATAGCGACTTTCTTCAATGCCCACCTTCCTTTCTGACATATTAGTGTTTCCAGGAGCAGTTGTGTATCACTGTCTTGAAAACCCTAAACCATTTTAAATACCATATTCTGTAGGTTTGAAAAGTCTGAAGAATATCTATCCATTTGAAAGATATTTCTGTATATCTAGAAAACCTAACGTAACTGTGTTTTGACTATTGGTGACTATATATAATCTGTATTTAATTATACATTACATTTTTAAATGAGCTATATAAACACAATACTTAACCAGGAGTAGAAATATACCTATAACAAATTGACCATAAATTTGTATCAATAAGTCAAAATCCATACCAATACAAAGTATTTATTTCTATATCATTTTTTCTTTTAGCTAGAGATTGGTTGTGGTCATTAACCATTCATAACCAACCCCATTTAAATAAGAAACCCATTTATAAACAATATTTGGGGATTTAGGTGTCGTTCTCACCAAACTGCTTCCTGCAGTTTGGGATCTATGAAAATACCATGGAATCCTGAGAAAACCCAGAAACCTGGCCAAATCCTGGCTGTAGTCTGAGGCTGCATTGTCTCAGCTGTTTTGGATGCTGGATCACCTGGGCCACTGCTTCAGGGGGTCTTGGTTGATCAAACCATGTTAGTCTGGAGAAGGAACCCTCAGCTTTTCATTTTCTGTGGAACAAAAACAAAACCTTTTCCCCAAAGTAACCTGTCCTTGGACTTAAATTTAGAAGTCAAAGAATTTTAAAATTATAGGTTGGATTAATCCAGAAGAATTTATAAACAAATGTCTGTTAGCAGCTGTTGCTCTTTCCTCAGCAACCAAACAATTTAAAGACAACACAATAACATACAGAGTCCAGAATCTGTGTATTTTCCATCTTTATGTGGCTTAAAAAATTATTACCAGTAAATACCCACACCTAGCTGTAAGAAGAAGAAGGTCAAAGGCAGATGTCTGCTCTGGAAAGCAGGGCGGTTGTCACCAGGAACTACCATCATGTAGGCATTGTCTCGGCCAGGCAGACTATGTTTGTAGGGCTGTGAAAAGACTGAGGCTCAGCTGTTTCTAGATAGTCAAATCAAATGTATCCCCCAAGAGAGTCAGAGGACAGTTGGGGGAAATATTTAAAAACCCACAAAAGCATTATTTTCTGGATATCTTATTTCTTTGTTCCCAGCTGAGGTTGGAGGAATGTGTCTCCATACTTCCAGGCCCTATTTTATCGTGTGCCAAATGGGGTAGTAGTAGGGTCTACTTCCCAAGTGTGGAAGTGAAGACTGATTATCATCTGCCCAGTTGTGTTTGCACACATGGGTGCAAAGTCAAGTCTACAAGTCTCTCTCCCACTGACACAAAGGTGTGCACAAAGACTTTGCCACTGGTAGTGTCCTCCACAAATCTCCACATACACAGACTCCCAGAAGCACACATAATACACACCACAGCCCCAAAGCATACCTGCTCTGCTCTTATAACTTTAGCCACCAATATTGGCCCAGGAGTGCTGCCCTGAGTACTTCAAAAAAGCCATCCCTATCAACTGGTGACTACTTAGTGGAGTGTCTCAGGATGCCATTGTGTCATTTGACTCTCTCCTGGGAGGTGGCCATGGATAGAGGCAAGCCGCCCCCCCCCATCATACTTTGGAGAGAGAAAGGAGCTGGACCCCTCCTTCCCTTGGCCACTTGTGCTGGACTGAGTAGTTTCAAATCATTCACTATGAGACTCAGAGGGGCCACAAGCCATGGGTCCAAGTCCTTATTTTACTTATGGAGAAACTGAGGCCCAGGGATGGATGGGACACCCTCTTGTACACAGCAAATCAATGGCTCATGTATCTAATCTCAGGCGGGGGAGAGGTCAGAGGAAACATTCCATCCTGCAAGAAGCTCCTTGAACAGGAAGATCACCACTCAAAGAAGCTCCAGGAAGTCCCTAAAATTGACAGATTCACTAGGCTCCTCCCTACCAGAGTAAGCAATGAAAGTTGAGAATCCCCTCCAGACAGTAGGAAGCTAAACTACAAAGATGACTCTGGGATCAGACCAGCAGCCTGGAGGAAGCAGAAACCAGCCAAGCTGTCTGGAATAGGTGCAGGCCAACTGAGGCACCCGAAAGGGTGCTCTTCAACCCGTTGAGCTGCCTGAAGGCTGTGCAGTGAGCTCAGGTGTCCAGTTTTGTGAGCTGTCACCCATGCTGGGGTGGGCTTTGGTGATACAGCTGTCTTTGAGTCATTTTTTGCTCTTATAAGTAACTCTGACAAAACTCACTGATTCATCAAATTGAACTTGAGTGGTAACCATATTTTGGTCCGGCATGGGCTCCCTACCTGGGGTGAGTAGATGTGTGCATTTCCCCAGGAAAAAATCCTGTCTCAGGGCTTGCTGCACCTGTATTAGCCAGGTCATGGCCATCTGCTGCTGGCATCCGGGATGAAGTCAAAGAGGGAACAGGAATCCCCAAGCCCTGATGCCTGCTTTCTTGGAGGCACACATCCAAGAGCACTGAAATGAGAAGGTCTGATGTCCCAGATCTGCCACCAATGGAAACGTGTAAACTTGGGACTCAGAGTCTTGGCCAAGATGAGAAGTGGCTGATCCAGGGCCTCTGGAAGGGTATGCTTTGATGGTCAGTGGTATTTTCTCCCTCTCTGTAGGTTTGTTATTGTCCAGGGCAGGTCTATCTGCTCAGACTCCAAGCATTGGCAGGTAAAGGAACCTATCTGTCACCTGCAGAACCTCAGGCGATGATCAAGCCTCATCACCAGGAAAGTACCCCAGCCACAGCAGCCACAGCCTAATAGATGCATTACAATGACAACAGGATCCTCAGCCCCAAGGATTCATGTTTCTACACTGTAACATTTCTCACCAGGAGCTCTAGGTCCAGATGGGCAGCTGTTACAATCTTTTTCCTTCAGTCTGGATCAGTACATCTGTCTCAGGCATAGAGTGCCTTCCCACCCAAACCTGTCACCCTCACAAAACACCTGGGCATTCATACCCGAGTCTGAGGGGGACTTCTGGGAAGAGGCTGAATGATTCCCACCTTCCAGACCATTTCCGTACTTTTGTCTGTTATTGTTTGACCTGAGCAGGAACCGAGGAGCATTGTGTTCTATTCCAGAATGTGTGCCAACCTCCTCCACTTGGTTAAGAATCAGACAACGGGAGATGAGCTGATCTTGGCCTTTTCGGGGAAAAGCACATAGCCACAGGGCTGGGCAAGTTCCCCCACACACGACAGACCAGGAGGCTCCCCGCAGTTGAAGCACCTTCCCGGCCTTCTGGGGGCGCCCTTCTAAGGCCTGAACCAGAATGGTAGGCAGGAGTCATCGGCCTACTCTTTCGTTTGTGGGGTCAGTGCCTGCTTCCTGTTCTAGCTTCATTTACCACAGCAGGGCGGGCCTTCAAATGGCTGCCATGTTCCTGAGGTGTGGCTCCCACCCCCTATCGGCCGCGGAAATCCCACCCACCCTCTGTCGCAGCCTCCAGGAAGCCTCCCTCAAGTGCACACGCCCCAAGTGTCTCCTGTGGCGGCCCCGCCCCCGGAGACTTGCAGCCAGTCACGGTAAGAGACTATTCTGTCGTCGACCCCTGCGTGTCCTCCAGTCTCTATTTCCCCACCCCACACCCGGGCTGGGGCCACCCATTTGTCACCAGGGCGTGGGCCTCCGAGGGCTCCTCTCAGGCAGGCCGGAGCTGCATGCACCCAGCTGCACAGATCCCGCCATTCCTGGAGGGCCTCGCGCAGCGCTGTCTGGGCCTGCTGCTGGTGTCGTGGTGCAAGGGGACGGGCACATGAGCCCCCTGTGGGAGTCTGGGGGTACCCTGCACGGGGAGGAGGGCGGGCACCGCCATTGAGAGGGTCATCTTCCACTTCTGCTGCCTCCTTGTGGAGCAACTCGCCCCGGCGCTTTCAGCATGGCGGGAAGCAAGTCGCCAAATCAACCGCGTGTGGCTGCCGGGTCTCTTCGGCCACACGAAGGCTCTTCCTCTGCTCTGAACCTGAGGTGAAGCCCTTCAACAGCTGCCTCAGATCCAGGACCGCGAGTAGCTGGGACTGAGGTGGTGGGGGGGAAAATGTCCCCGGGGTCTCCTAGGGGAGACGGCAGAGACCAGAGGGCTGCAGGGGCGGCGGCAGAGGGGAGCGCGCCTGTTAGCCCACCGCAGCCTCTTTAAAGAAGGCTGGCAGTCCAGTAATGCGACAGCTCTCAGTCGGAGGAGCTCACAAGAAGAGCTGTGATGAGGGGTGTCGCCTCAAGGCTTAGCTCAAGGTGTCTAGGAAGAAAAAGGAGAATTCTGGACAGAAGCCAGACGGTAGGATTTGGAACGCAAGTGTTCAGTCTCGGGGGGTAGATAAGGACATCACCTTGTGTGAGACGCGACCGCCGCCGTCGTGTGCTTGTCTGAAAGGAGACTTGCTAAGGACTGGAGAGTTGTAGGCTTCCCGTGACATCAAAGGACCAGATGAATAGTGAGGAGTGGCCTGACCCGATGTCATCCCCTCCTTCTGGAAGGGCTCAGGACAAAAGTAACTTCTCCTTTGTGTCTCTCCCCCCCCCCCCCCATTCTGTGCCGGCAGCTTACTCTTTACTGCCCTCTGGACTTGGAACTGCAGGTGTTCACACTGTTAACAGGAAGAGAGAAGGTGTTTGGTACCTGTGGATATTATCACTTATACATTTTCAATTAACAAGTGTCTAGGTGACTCTCACAGGGGCACTGTGTTGAAAGAGAAGCTCCCGGAGTCAGGGACCGACGTGGGGGAGGGGGTCAATGTTCTGAGCATAGCCATCTAAGGGACTGCATAGGAACTGCAAGGGGCCACATAGATGGAAATTAGATTTGAGCTGCTCCACTTTTGTCCTACCAGAGGGTGCAGCCTCAAATAAAGGTCTGCAGACCAATGCTCTTGATTCTGATATCACATAGGTGGTTGACCCATCAGCTGGGGGTACACCTTCACCTCCTCGTACTTCATTGCCTCATTACCTGTATTCCCTGGGCAGGGGACATCTGCAGCTGACTGGCCCTTCTAGGGTCACCAAGGTAAGAAACCACAGACCAAACTACCTGGTTGGTGTTTGATGGATGAGAGGAAGAAGCTCACGATATTGGAATTTACAGGCCTTTAACTCTTTTTGGCTTTTTATTCCTTGTAAAATATACATAACATGAAACCCACCATTTTAACTCTATAAAATATACAGTTTGTCGACATCACAGTATTGAGCAACAACCATCATTTTCCAGTTTTACAACTTTTTCATCATCACAGGTTATCAGCCGGAACCTCAGTTTTCCCATCTGAAAATGGAGCTAATAATAAACAGCTTTCCTAAGACTGGAAATGATGCAATTAAACTTCTGTTTCTGGAGGAAGAGTTGGCTTGCTTCATAGTGGACAGGCGAGGAAAGAGGGCAAGGCCAAGAGTTCAGTGAGAGCCTTTAGCAATACCGATTCCAAGTAAATACATGTTCATTTGGGGCTCAGAGAGACAGACACTGGTACTGAGGTCACTGTGGTCAGGGAGTGCAGCTTCGTGGCCAGGATTTCCAGAAAGGCTAGAGACTAGATCATGCTGCTCCGTGAAATGGCCCAGTCTCTCACATGGCTATCCTGTGGGGAAGCTTATATGACAGGAAACTGAGGTTTCAGAAGGAGCCAAACTTGATCATAATCACAGACTTAGAAGTGCTGGACGTGGGGCTAGTCTTCACCCAGTTGTGGGGAGGGAGGAGGAAGGAGGACATTTGGCTCCCAACAGCCTGGACAGGGTAGCTTCTGTGCATTTGAGCACATAATAGATTGCTAAGAACTGAACTGACAGTCACTGAGATAGTATAGGAATGGAGGGGAAGGTTAGAATACTGAACTGGGACATTCAAACAGAGGGCAACATGGAGAAGCCACAAACACAACCTCCCCCACACACATACACACACATATACATTCACGCACATACATACACATACACATATACATATACATACACATATACATCACACACATATACATACACACATATACATACACACAGGTACATACACACATATAATACACACACATAATACATACACACATACACACATATGCATATACATACACACATCACACACAGATACATACACACATACATACACACACATACATACATACACATATACATACACACATATACATATACATACACACATACATCACACACATACATACATATATACATTCACATACATATACAGACATATATACACACACATGTACATACACACACAGATACATACACACAGATACATACACACATACATATACATATACAGACACACATACATACACACATACATACACAAGCATATACATACACACATACATTCACACACATACACACACATATACACACACATACATATACATATACAGACACACATACATACACACATACATATACATATATACACACATACATACACACATACATATACATACACACATGCATCACACATATATACATACACATATACATACATACACACATACATCACACACATATACATACACATACATACATATACACATACACACATACACATACATACACATATACATACACACATACATACATATACATACACACATATACATATACATACACACATACATACACATATACATACACACATATATCACACAATATACATGCACACATACATGCACACACATATACATACACACATACACATACATAAGCACACACATATACATACACACACACACCACATACATATGCGAGTGTACATACACCCATATCTGCAGAATGTATAAGGACCTCTTATGGCTCAGTAAGTCATATGGGAGAGGTGAAGAGATAACTCTGGTTAAGAACACTGGCTGCTCTCTTCCAGGGGGGACATAGGTTTGATTCCCATCACCCACATGGAGGCTCACAGCCATCTATAACTCCAGTTCCAGGGGATTTGACACCCTCTTCCAGCCTCTGGGTACTGCACACATGTGGTTCACAGACATACATGCAGGCAAAACACCCAAACAGATTCTTAGAAATGAGCCCAGGGGGCAATAACTTTTGCCCCTCCAACAGAAATGCCTCAACAAGGCAAGATTTTACTCTTGATCAAGAGAGTCTGCTTGGAAGGGCAAGCACCCCAAGCTGGAAGTGCCCTTGGTTTTTACTATAATGCTGGTGGTGACTGTCTGTGTCTTCCTCCATTGACTAGGGTCTGATCTCATGGTCTGAGACTGGCTAGTTTTAAATAGTACAAAGGAAATGAAGTGGGGAGGGAATCAGTCACTTTAATCTGAAACTGTAGCAGGATCTTTTTGTAAACTGAGGTTTTTACCTGGTGGGGGATTAAAACGTTAGTATAAATATCTTAGAAGGTAGGAGAGATGAATCTTTAATCCCAGCACTCAGTGGGCAGAGGCCAGCCTGGTCTAAGTAGGGAGTTTTGTTTTGGGTCTCTATCTGCCTGCTTCTGTTTCCTGAGTGATGGGATTAAAGGTGTGTGCTACCACTCCTGGCTATAGCTACCCTTATTGAAAGGTGTTTGAATGGTTCTCAAATTTTAACCCCCCATTAATTCTTATGGTTCCAAACTGGGGGCAAACCAAGGCCCTGTTTGCCTCACTGTTTCCTATGAGAATCAATGCAACCATAATTCATCAAGAGACAGATTGTGCCAGGACAGGGATTTATGTAGCTACACAGTGGGTTGTGATAAACATGTGCCACTGTATGGGAAACCCAGTGGCCCTTTCTAGAGGTTCTTTCCTCCAAGGGCTGCACTGCCCACAGACAGTGTCTACCCCTTTGTGCAGGAGCTCCTCAAGGTGTTATGCCAAGTTCAAAGGATGTGGGTTTGGCTTTGACTTGGTGTCTGGTCCATGACACCAGCTTGGCTCAGAGTGCAAGGGGGCATCTATCTGATACACAAGTGAGCAGGAAACACCATTCCTAGATGAGGGACAAGCATGAGCAAAGCCCCATGGTGGGAACATGCTGCTCACAAAACTGTGGGTCAGATGTGGCAGATGCATGGAACAAATAGGAGAGTAGGTGTGGATGCATCTTACATGACAGGCTAAGGGATCTGAGTAACCTGAAAGGTAGTAGCCAGCTTCAGAAGTCTTGGGGACAAGACGAAGGGGGATGAGAGGAAGATACAGGATTTTGGGACTTCTAAGCAAGATTTTGCTTCAAAAGAAGGTCAAAGGATAAAAAAAAGAAACCAGAGTGGAATATTTAGTGAGGAGAGAGGACAGGCAGGTGGCAGATTACAGAATGAGAGTAGAAGAGTCCGGCCTTACTAGCAACTGCCCTCCTGTAGGAAGGAACCAGTGGGCAGAAGAGTTGAACAGAGCTTCTCAAACATGGCGCTCCAACCACCAGTAGCAGAACCTAACATCAGTATGTTCACTACCACATCGCCACTGTTGTCGCCATCACTACCGCCACAGCAGCACTGTTATTGCTAAATAACATTAACATTATTGCACAATAACATTACTGCTATCATTACTACCAGCTTTCCGACCATTACTGCCACTACCACCACCATCACCACTACTGCAGTAACATCATCACCATCTACAACCAACCACCACCTCTGCCGCATCACCATCCCATCCCATCCCCACCACCAATCCCGTCTCTATCTCTGCTCCCATCCCAACCACACCAGTCTTCCCCGTCATCTCCATCACCACAAACATTTCTCCTAGCCACCATCTTCATCACCAAGCACGGGCTCAGAAGTGTAGATGCTCAGCACCTGACCCCTGAATCAGCATTTCTGGGAAGTGGGGCTTGCACTCTCATCAAGGCCTCCAGAGGACTCAATTGAAGAATCCCTAGCCAAGAGAGCCACAGAAATGCAAGGCTGCTCTAGTGGTTTATTTCAGAAACTCTGGTAAAAGATGGCAGGCACAGAGCCAGAGCAGGGAGAAGGAGAGGGAATGGCCCCTCCTTCCACTGAGCCCCTGTTTTTGGCTTACTGGAGATCTGCTCTAGGAGCAAAGGAGGTGGGAATTTAACAGCAAGCGCCTTTTGACCAAAGACTGGCTCTTCTAGGTCAGCTGAAACCACAGCTGAAACCCCTGAAGTTTCTCACTCTACCTACTGAACTTAGTCCATGTAAGTTCTCCACCCAAAGACACGGGAGCTCAGCACGCGTGTGGCCACACCCTGATATTGACCAGCCATTCAGGATCCAAACACCTGACCGGCTGCTCACCCAGGGCTTCAGTATTTGTTAGGCGGGTGTTTACCTCAGGCACAGGGTAGCCCCCAACTCCTCCTCCCCTCCTACCCCCACCCCCAGGGGGTGGAAGGGTGGATCCAGGCCTAGCTGGGACTTTACTCTCCCACTTTCAATCTCTAGGCTTTGACCTGCCTTCTGAGGTGAGTTTCCTGCCCCAGATTATTTTTGAGTGTGGAATTTACCACTCTTGGAGAGAAAAGAGGGGAACCCATGACAGTGGCTCCTTCAAAAGCCTTGTCTTGTCTTTGCGGTGAAAATCTGGTTATCGTGAAGTCAGAAGCTCGGGTTATGTAGTCTCATTGTCTTTGAGCTTTTTTGGACCTGTAAGAGGACTTTGCAGAAGGGCCCTCACTCCGGATCCTGCTAGGTGCAGAGGCTCGTACCCTCTTGCTTATTTTCTGAACTAGCCCTGGTGTCCCTAGTTAAAGAAGGCCTGATACCTCTCAGAGAAAACGTGTTAAGTGATCAAACAACATAACTAATTAGGAATTGTGGCAGCTATGCTTTGGGGGAGATGCAAATTTGGCTCCTGGTCCAACAGTTTATAATATGGGTTGAAATATCCCCAAAGAAGAAAGGACAGTATCAGGTCTTATTGTAACTAAACCCCCTTTTCCTTTCTCCTGATTTCCAATTTCTATATTGGAAACACAGCTATACTTCTAGATCTCTTATACATATATGAAAATAAATTCCAATTTTCATCCTTTCTTATACAAAGTTAATATATTTTGAACATTGTTCTGAGCTTTGTGACTTCTCTCTCTAATATTATACCTTGAAATGTTCTATGCCAATGAATATGTCCTTTCTCTTTTAACTACTGTGTACTATTCCAATGTGGGGATGTACTTTATGCATCACCAGTCTCCACCTATGGTGTTTGGGTTTTGCTCCAACTTGTACACATTGTTTTCTATATCTCCAATTGTGTCTACAGAATAGTTTTGTAGACGTGGGGGTGCTAGGTCAGAGTATGTGCCTTGGTTCTTATGGTGGATATTGCTTTCTTCCTACTAGTGAGTGGTAAGAAGTGAGCCAGAGAGAACACAGTGGGAGCTGCTCCATGCTTTCTAGCCACTCAACCTATGAAATCTACACTAACACTTGGGATGCTGAGGCAGGAGGATAGTCAGAAGTTTGAGGCCAGCCTGGGCTACAGAATGAGATCTTGTCTCAAAACAATATCTATAAAATGGTTTGGAAGGGCTGGGCATTTAGCTCAGTGGAAGAGTGCTTGTCTAGCATGTGCAAGGAAGACCCTGGGTTTGATCTTCAGCACCAATATCAACCAACCCACCATAACTATAGAGCATATGGTGGCAATGAAAAATTAGATGTAAAACAGTTAGTTCAGGGCCAACAGACAACTAAGCATTTTCAGGTTGCTGGGTTTCTGCTAAAGTCCTGTTAGAGCCTTTCACGGGTTCCATGGAGTGATCCTGGATGTCAAAACCATTGTTCTGAAAGGAAGGTTCTTCTCCGTGTCTACCCATGTCCCTGAGGTTTTTGCTAGGTTCCCTTAATAGAAAAGCCTGGGCTTTCCCAGGGACATTTCTAGGGCTAGCTGTTGAACAAATTGGAGTGGAATCTTTTTAAAGAGGGCAGTGGCCTCTTTGGAAATTTCACAATTTCCTCTGTACTGACTGCTGCTGAGTATAGTCTTCCCATGTATCATTTGTTACCAGCCTTCTACAGGGTTCCACAGCCTACAGGTGTGAATCTGTTCCCATCTTAGAATTGTCTCAGAGTGCAGCAAATGTCAATCATTGCCAGGCCAAGCCTTCATCACTCTGCATCCCGTTCCCACCAAACAGAGCATTTTATATTTCAGTTCATGGTCCCAAGCCCCTGTATGTTGTCCCATGTAGTGAGTGAGATACCCCACGGTCTCTGCATGGATTTTCTGTTGCATTAGGGTTTGGGTACATTGGGGATGAGCTCCATTTGAAATGGGTGTGTCCAAATTAAAGGGTGAGTTTCATTTTGTCTACATTGAAACACAGTCATGTCTGCAAAAGTTAGTTGTCAGTCAATCTTTTGAGACTTTACATCCAACAAGGTGTTTTCAGAACATCCCAAACTGACTCTGCACAATATACCTGATTTTTTTACCCTCTGTTCTCTCTGTCTGTGTGTATGCATATGTGCTCCTGTGTGTGTAGGTGTGTGCATGTGTGTGGAGTCAAAGGTTGATATATTCCTCAATCATTCTCCACCTTTTTAAAAAAACACTTTTGTGGGGTGAGTATGTGTGAGTGTGCATTTGGATAGGAATGTGCACATGACACAGAGCACATGTGGAGACCAGAGCACAGCTTTCAGGAGTTGGTTCTCTTCTTCCATCTGACTTTGAGGCAGGGTCTCTCTGTGTCTGTTGCTTTACTGCATACTCCAAGGTCTTCAGGCTTCTGGGTAATTCTGTCTCTACTTCTCATCTTGTAGAAGTGCTGAGATTACAGATGTGTGCTACCACATCTGGATCTTCACACAGGTTTGAGGACTGAAGTCAGGCCATCAGGCTGTGGGACCATCTCCTTATTATTTTTTTTTTTTTATTTTGAATCAATGTTTTTGAGACAGAGTCTGTCACTAAACCTGGAGCTTGCCAATTCAGGTTTAGTGGCTAGTCAACAAGCCCCAGGGGTCCCCCCTCTCCACCTTCCTAGTGCCAAGGTTGCAGGTAAATGCTTAGCTTTTTACACAGAGCTGGGAATCTGCACACAGAGTCTTATGCTTGTGCAACAAGCCTTTATGAATGGATCTGTTCCCTAGCCCTTTTCTGTTCTCTCTCATAGTCCAGGAGATCAGGATGAACCAGGCACCCAGGATCTGTTTTCTGGGTGCCTAGAGCCAGATGGTCTCTTTACTTGATTGACCCAAGACCATGAGTGAAGAGAAAGAGGACTCGTTCAGGATACTCAGGATTTATGATGAAACAGAGGAGATAAAGAAGATGCCGGAAAGCTCTGGGGTTTTTTCTCATCATGGGCAACAAGAACAATACCAAATGGACAGCGTGCAGGGAATGCCCCAGTTGCCCTCATATCCTTCAATACAGCATGACCCTGTTTATCAGGAAATGCACAGTATGACCCAGCAGCAGTGGGATCCCCAGGCCCAGGACGAATCTGGGCTCCAGCCCATGTGGTTTTCAGAGGCAGAACCAGAAGGAGGAACCAGCTCAAGGTAAGGCTTTCATGAGCAAGGCTGGGCAGGGTGATGGACTGTTCTGGGTGGACAGGCCCCGACACAAACTTCTACACTTCATGTCATCTCCTCCTTCTTTGTCCTCTGTCACAGCTTTCAACCAGGAGCTACGACTGGTAAGTATAGGCTGTGACAGTGTGGTCAGGGAAGGGGAGTGGCCCAAGCTGGAGTTGAGATGGTGGATGAGGTACCTGGCTTGGTGTCAGAGGGAGGCTCTCCTTTTGACCCTGTGACTGACTGTTACTGTGATACCTGGTCCATGAGAGGTGGGTGTGGCTGTCTCCCTGCAGGCCAGTTCTGTTCTTCATCCTTGTTCAACAAAGAAGTCTGGTCATTCCTCAAAGCCATTGTAAGTACCTTAGTATTCTGTTTTGACACACAGGTGCCATCCTTCTTTCCTGCCCACCTTCCAATGGAGAAGTGGTGTGTTTGCCTGTTCCTATTCCCTTTCTCTTAGGTAGTGGTGGCTGGGATACCATCTTCTTAATGAGACTTCTCTCCTTGTCCTGCCATTTTGATAACTAGGGCCTTTGGCCTACAGTGTCACTTCTTCAAGAGATGTGACTTGGAAACCCCTGAACCAAGCTCTGTTGTGAGAAAGTAGCTTAGAAATTTGGGGAATAGGGACAGAGCAGGCCACCACCTTGGTTGACCAGTCCTGTCATCTCCCCAGCCTCCAGTTCCAGATGAGGCAGTGGTCACGCGGAAGTCCCCACGTAGTTCCTGGAGGGTTGGCACTCTCCGCCATGGGAAGCGAGTGAATGCTATTGCCATTAGCAGTGCTCCGCGCCATGTGTACACGTGTGGCACTGGCTACATCAGAGTGTGGGATGAAGATGCGTTGCATGCCTCAGACAGAGCACCTCAGGCCCAGCTGGACTTTCAGGTGAGGGGCTCTCAATAGGTTTAGGGAGGTCAGACAGGGTCTCTCCCATCAGCACTGCAAAGTGTATTGACAGTGCGTTCTTTCCTCAGGACCCTCGGAATCGTGTCCTCACCTGCAAGCTGTTCCCCGATGAGCAGAGTCTGATCACAGGAGGAATGGCTCAGGCTTTGACTCTCTGGGACCTGGCTCCCACACCCCAAATCAGGGCTCAGATGGCCTCCACAGGCCCCATGTGCTATTCCTTAGCCCTCTCTTCTGATGCCCACATCTGTTTGGCTTCTTTCAAAGGATTCGTGGAGATTTGGGATGTACAGAACCAAATCTTGATCAGGTAGGACTTTTCTCCAGAGATACTCAGGTGTTTCTTGGGAAGGGCTTGAGAGTGAGACCTCACTTCCCTTATTGGCAGTAGGGCCATGCCAAACAGCCTGGAAGGTGCATCTGGGGACTTCCTAACCCTGTACTTCCTAACCAACCCCGTACTTCTAACCCTTCCACATTCTGGGTTGGGGGAGCCAGGCCTTTCTAAAGATCTCTGAGTCATCTTCCCACTAGGAAACATGAAGTTCCTCCCTATGGGTCCCGCTGTGTGGACATCACAGGCTTTAAGTTCTGGACAGGTGGTGAAGACACCACCCTGTATTCGTGGGACTTGAGGAGCTACCAGAAGCTACAACAACACAACTTATGCCATGAGGTGCCTGTTTGGTTGCCTTCAGGACCCAGTTCAACTCTAGGGTGGGGGCTAAGATGTGGGGAGGAGGTGCTGAGTGAGAATTTGAGGCCAGGGCTTGAACAAGGGTACTGGCAATTTTGAATGCTAACCTTAGCATTCCCACAGATCCTTAGCATCACCCATGACCCCAGTGAGGAATGGGTGCTGGCAGGCTTGAAAATGAGTGACATCGTCATCCTACATGCTCACCGGGAAGAGAAGTACAAAGCTGTTGTTCAAAGATATACACAACACCACAACCTCAAGTTTGCCTCTTGTGGTGAGTTAGAAGCCAGGTGACTCCCATGGGTTCCTACCTTCTTTCTCCCCACCCCTTTCCTTATGCTCCCCTCTACCACAAAGGCTTCCTGTTTAGAATGCAGCTTGAAGGTACAGGTAGACAGATGTGGCAGGAGTCCCATCTCATGTCCCTCTTGTTCAGTGATAACTCACCATGTCCTGGGCGCGGTTCTGGTGGCAACAGATGAAGGGATGGCTTGGGCCATGCATCTGATTTTTATAAAGCAGGGAAACTGAGGCAGAGCAGATAGTTGCTCTCTCCCTAGTCTACTTGAGGACAGCTGGATAGAGAACATAGTCTCAGTTTCTGACCTCTTGATCTGCTCTTCCCTTTGCCAGGGACCCATTTTGTGGCCACACTGGATGATATGATTCATTGTTTAGCGGCACCATCTCTACGAAGGTTGTTCCAGGTATGGAGGTGGGGAGTGGGGGTGGGCGTACAGACTAAAGCACGCAGAACTTGTGGCCCCAGATCCCTATGTGATGGGTCCCAGAGAGAACAGAAAAATCCGGGGGGGTGTGCGGCAAAAAGGGCCGGCAAAGGCCCCAGTGTTTCGGGGGGAACCCCCCCACCCCCCCGGCCCCCCGCCCCCCCCCCCCCCCCCCGGCCGGCCGCCAGAAGAGGCCCCCCCCCCCCCCCCCCCCCCCCCCCCCCCCCCCCCCCCCCCCCCCCCGGGCTGGCTCACAGAAGGACTACCTCACTACGGTAGGGACTGAGGACTAACCCTGTAAACACATGGCCTTCACTTTGAGCTTTGTCCCTGGCTCAGTGAAGCTAGGCATCTACCTAAATCTTGAAACATGAAGTCCTCATGTCTGGCTCGAGCCCCAACCCTTCATGTCCTTCACATCTCTTTTCTAGACCGAGGAGTGTTATGACATTCTGTGCTGTGACGTGTCCTCTGATAGTCAGTATCTGGTCACGGGTTCTAAGGAAAGCGCCACAGTATACCAGCTCTTGTATTGAAGGCTGCGGGCTATGGTCTTGCCAGCGGAGAACCAAAGAGATCAGACCGTGTGACTTCACAGCGCTGGACATCTCCAACACCTGCCTCCCTTTACTTCAGCCTTTATGGTTGGCTGGCTGTAATCCCAGGCTTTGAGTATATGGCTGGCTTGGGGTCTTTTCCGTTTGTTTGTTTGTTTGTTTGTTTTATTTTTTCCATCCCCACTCATTGATACCTGTGTTTGGCAGGTAACTTTATGAGATATGACTTTATAATTAATAAAATAGAGAAAACCCCAGAATAACCTGCTTGTGTGTTTCAGATAACAAAGTTATAGTAATGGATCATTTCTGTCTGTTTAGCAAGAGGGCCCATGCATTGTTCCAGGGTGGGTGCATTTTGCTGTTACTGTGATGGAATACTCTTAACAAAAAGCAACTTAGAGGAGGAAGGGGTTACTTTTGGATTACAGTTCCAGAGGGAGAGTCTCATGACGAGGAAGGCATGGTGGCAGGAGCATGGGCCCAGGCAGGCAGATGGGAAGGAAGAGCCCAGCGTCACCCTCCTTCCTCACTGTACCTCCTAAAGGTCCCATAACCTCCCAGATGGTACCATGAAGTGTTCAAACACAGGGGAGACACTTTTCACTCACACAGCACAGAGCACAGAGTGGAAAGAATTTTAGGTCAGATTTAGTTTTATTTGCTACTTTGGAGGTGATGGCAGTGGTCACAAACTTTTTTTTTGTTTGTTTGTTTTGTTTTATTTTTTTGTTTTTTTGTTTTTTGAGACAGGGTTTCTCTGTATTGTTTTGGAGGCTGTCCTGGAACTCGCTCTGTAGACCAGGCTGGCCTCGAACTCACAGAGATCCGCCTGCCTCTGCCTCCCAAGTGTTGGGATTAAAGGTGTGCGCCACCAACGCCCGGCTCTTTTTGAAATCTTAAGAAACGTAAGAGAGAGTGTATCCATGGGTTTTACACCTGGGATTCAACCAAACATGGGTTGCAAGTATTTAGAAGAGAAGTTGATTTTTGCACTGGAAATGTGCTTTTTGTTTCCTAAACAATACATTATCATTTATTTACATGGTACTCCCATCACAACAGGTACTGTAATGATCTAAATGTGACTAATGCATAGAAAGCTATGCATGAGCTGTATAAAATGCTATGCCACTTTATAAAAGGGGCTTTGGTATCCACTGAAGGTTGTGGGGCCACCCATGGTGACTTTTCATACAAATGCTAGACTGAGTTTGGCGGAAGCTGGTGTGACCATGTCCGAAGGCTCGGCAGTGTTTAACCCCGTGGGGGTGCTGGAAAGTATGATTTGAATGAGGTGTAACCCCCAGAGTCTTGGGCACCTGATCTCCAGTTGGTGGTGTTGTCTGGGGAGGACTAGGTTAGTGCAGCCTTACTGGAGGAAGTGCAACACTGGGGTGGGCTTTGAGGTTTCAAATGCTCAAGCCAAGTCCAGGGTCCCTCTCTTCTGGCTGCCTACAGATCCAGGTGTAGAACTCTCAAGCTCATTTTCTAGCACTATGTCTGCCTGCATGCTGCCATGCTTCCCACCATGGTGATAACTGACTAAACCTCTGAAACTATAAGCCAGCCCTATAAATGTTGCTGTGGTTGTGGTGTCTCTTCATAGCAATAAAACCCCAACTAAGAAGCCATGAAAGAAAAATAAACTTGTATTTTCACTTTATTAATGTAGAGGTCTATTTGTTACTAGAGCTCTGGAAAGGACATATATTTTCTTAAAAGGCCAAGTAGTGAAATATTTTAGGCTTTGTTATAATTGATGTTACAGCTACTCAATTCTGCTGCTGTGGGATGCAAACCTAAGTAGATAAACAAATGAGTGTGAATTTTATCAATGAAACTTTATGGATAACAACAAGCAGTGGAACCAACTGGTCTCCTGGGTATAGTTTGTCAACCCCTCTCAATATGCCTTAAGTATCATAGGCAATTAGCATCCAATAAAAATTACAGAGAGTTACTGAATATGGTGGCACCTGCCTTTAATCCCAGCATTTGGGAGGCATGCATGTCTCTTGAGTTCGAGGTCAGCTTTATCTACAAAGTAAGTTCCAGGACAGCCAGAGTGACATAGAAACCCAGTCTCAAAACAAACAACAAAAACAAACCAACCCCTGTGTGTGTGTGTGTGTGTGTGTGAGAGAGAGAGAGAGAGAGAGAGAGAGAGAGAGAGAGAGAGAGAGAGAGAGAGAGAGAGATGTGTATAGAGGCTACCTAGAAAACTAGAAAAGCTATTTAGTGGGGCTGTAGGATTACATAGGCTTTAAAATTAGTTTGTCCATCAAGGATGAATGAATAAGCCCAGTATGGCATAATCACACAACAACACACTATGCTCCATTAAAATGGAAGAGAATTTTGACATGACACAGTCTGGATTAATTTCAAGACAGCCACAAAAGTACTACACAGTTTCATTCATGAGGTACTTAGGGTAGTTAATTCATAGAGACAGGAACTAAAATGGTCATCACCTGGGGCTCAGGGGAGGGATATAAGGGGGTTACTGTTTAATGTTTGAGGGTTTTGTTTGAGACAGGGTTTTATGTAGCCCAAGTTGACCTGGAACTCACCAAGATAGTGACTGACATTTTGAAAATGGATAAACTGTATTACAAAGTGGCCACAATATCTTACAATACCACCAGCAAAGAATACAAATTCCATTTTCTCCACATCCTCACTGAAACTTTGTTACTATGCCCGATAGCTGTTTGTTCTGGTTCACAGTTTAAGACCATACTCAGATGGCTCCATTGTGTGATTCCTGGGCAGGAAATGAAGCAGAGTATCCTGTAGGGAGAATGGAATGGATCAGAGCTGTTCTCCTCATGGCATCTGGCAGTGAAATCCAGCAATAGTATGGGATGGGTGGGGACAAGATGCACCCTTCCAGATTACTCCACCCACTTCTCCCCTACCCTGGCCACTCACTTCATCCACCCAGACCCCACTTCCTGTTTCTATTAATTTGCCTGCACACACACACACACACACACACACACACACACACACACACACACTCACTCACTCACATACATGCAATTCCCTTCCAAGTAGAACATGGGCACTTAATCTGTCTCTGCTATGATGAGAGGAAAAAATTGCTTATAAATGTCAATGCAAAACATTGTATAAAGACAGTAAGACACTATGACTAAGTGAAATATTCTAGGAGGTGATGTTGGGTTAATAATAAGAAATCTGCTAAGAAAGTCAATACTAATAAATTTGTTTCCACTGAAATTAGGTACCTGTTCATGACTTTAAAATATTAAAGAATGAAAGAATTGATTAACGTCTTCCTAATGAATATATGTATAATCTGTCTATCTAGCTTAAAGTTATTATTGTAGTAAGGGAAACATAGTCATAAGAAACATCTAATATTATCAGGAACACAATAAGCATGCTGTACTGGCCACTTTTAGTTGCCCTGAAAAAAACACTATGACCAGAAATGACTTACAGAAGAGAGAAAAGGGAGCCTGCAATATTGGAGAGACATGGCAGCTGGAGCAAGAAGCTGGAACATTTTCAAATGAAAACAAAGTAGAGGGCAAACTGGAAGTGGGGGAGACTATAAATTCTCCAAGTTCACCCCAGTGATGTACTTCTTCCAGCAGGGCTGTACGTCCTAAGGTTCCATAGCTGGCCCGAAGTGCCAGCCACCAGGGCCAAACGTTCAGAGACATGAGCCTTTGGGAGATATTTCTCATTCAAAGCATCACGTATGCCTACTAATAGTACCATTGATAGGCAGTGTAATCAGACTAGAAAAGTCAGAGTCTTCAAGGATGGTTATGAAGTCTTCCCATTGGCAGATGATGTGATGGTAGTCCTGGAATTCCTGATATTCAAAAGTACTGCCACAGTAGTAGAGCACCTCTCTCTCTCTCTCTCTCTCTCTCTCTCTCTCTCTTTCTCTCTCATAGCCTTTTGAAGTACAAATAGCATATAGTGTTAAAGGACACAGAGGGAACCTTGGATAGAAGAGCCTCGGAGAAGGTTAAATGATTAGGAAAGAAAAAAATCCCTGGCCCTGTAATTCCAGCTCCTCAGGAGGTTGGAGCAGAGGCACTGCAGATTCAAGGCCTATTTGAGCCATCTGAACTGAATTCAAGGCCAGACCCAACAAATCGTGAGAACTTCTCTCCAAACAACAACAAAAAAGACTGAGTATGAGTCTTAGCAGTGCGGAACTTGCCAAAGATATGCAAGGCTCTGAGTTTAATAACCTGTGTAGAAAACGGAAAAAAAAATCTAAACTGGGGAAAAAAATACAGTGTTTTTGGGAGACAGAAGCCAGCTGAGTGACAGACATCACCCTTATGTCTGAGTCTCTCAGGTCAATACCACAAAGATGTTAATTCTCACTAAGTAAATGTGTAAGCTTAATGCACTCTGAAAATACCAACAGGCTTTGTTTCATGGAATTGCTAAAATGTTTTAACCAGTGTGTGAAACACGGGAGAACCAAGACAAAAAGAGGGGCACTAACCCTGCCAGACACGAAGGGTCACTAAAGCGCAGGTGACACGGGAAGACATTGACATGTCTGTTAGCTTTTGCCAACTTGACATGAGCTAGGGTCACCTGGAAAGAGGGAACTTCAGTTGAAGAATGGCCTCCATCAGGCTGGCCCATGGGCAAGCCTGTAGGACATTTTCTCGTTTGATGATTGATGTGGAAGGGCTCACACTATTGTGGGAGGTGTAACACTTGGGCAGATGATCCTGGGGACGGTAAGCCAGAGAGCAGCGTTCCTCTGGGGTCTCTGTTTCACTTCCTGCTCTGAGTTCTTGCCTGGGCTCCTTTTGTTATGAACTATAACCTGTAAGATAAAAACAAGCCCTTCGCTCTCCAAGTCGGTTTTGGTCAGTGTTTTATCATGGCAACAGAAAGCAGACTATGACAATGAGCAAATGGATAGGCCTGTAGAGTGGTATAACATGAACTTTTGGATTTGGGTCTTTGTGTAATGGTTATGGGTTATGGGGATGTTGGGTGAAGAGTATGTGGGACCTT